CATTCGTGCGACAAGGGCCCAGAGACCCCCTTTCCCCAACTAGCCAAAAGCCAACAGCGGGCTCTTTGTTCAGGCAGTCCGAACCCCAGGGGCCATGGAATTGACGCGCCCGCTCAGCCTTACCATTGGGTTGTATTGGTCAACCCCAGAACCTGTCCCTGCGGGGTTCAGCGATTTACACAACTGTTGACGTCGCCAATCACAAGCTCGAGACTAGGAGGCGTTCTGCTGATTGACCAAGTCCACTATCAAGTATCAGCACGACCAAGACATTTCTGAGGATTCCAGGCTACCGACTGGTGGCAAGCCTCCGTGTCATCCGACCTGACATGAGTACTGTCTGTAACAAAATACTGCAAGTGGAGTGGAGCGCCGCAAGACCATGAGTGCAATTCATCAGCTTCCCTATCACATCTCAAAATGTCAAACGAAGCCCGAGTGCAGCAAGCTGGACACTGGCCCGTCCCCTGAGTGGGCTCCCTCATCTGGCCTATCGTCAACGCTCGCTACTCAGTACGAATCTGATCAATGTCGCTTGTCATTTTTGGGTCTGTGCGCGTGCAACAGGCGGCTGGCGGAGGGTCGAAACGGCTTGACGTGAATACGACAGCCACAGACTCTGTAGTCGTCTATTGTTTGTGATCGGGCCATCAAACCAAACATCGTAGGGGGACCGCCTGCCGTCCCTGCAGCACCCGTAACGCCCTTTGACGTGTTGCCGTTGAAGCGGAGATGAGATGGAGCGAAGATGAGATCACGCTTGCGAGATGCTGTTGACCCGCTCACGGACTTGGAGCCAAGATGATGCAAGTGAGGACTTGAGCTGGCTCTGAGACAAGGCCATGCAGGGGTAAATTGAAATCTTTGATGATGACAACATGCCGCCACCGTGGCTGACAAACTGATGAGGCTGGACAGCGATACTTTCCCGTCACCTGAATGCCAGCATTCTTGCAGTGCACGCTTAGGGTCATGACGGTGAGGCGCGATACAAGGTTTTCCGCGGGAACAAACTCGTCGACTCTGTTGCTTTCCGATATCTGGGACGAATCGTCATCCATGACAGAGTGCACACCATCTCATCGTCGGCATCATGTGCCGGTCAGAGCAAGCCTGCCGGATCGTGGCGTTCAAAGATCTTGGGCCCTATTCGGATCTGTTCGGTGGGGGAGGGGGCAATGAGTTTGTGGTGTGCTAACACACTAAAAGTCTTGAGACGAACCTCGACCTTCGTTTGTCATTGGCGCCAGGCGCTGGACCACTCTCGCTGAACCGACATTTCTGGTGGGCACACATCACTGCCCGTCTCGTGCGTCACGTTATCGCCAGGCCTCCGCCAAACCACACTGTCTCACCTTAGTCGACCTAAAGATCAACTAATGACGCGGAGCGCGGCGCAAGGGGCGCGAAGAGGCCTGAATCGGCCGTTGAGAAGCATATGTCAACTCCGGATGATGTGCGCCGGCGAAAGATTGGTGGGTCACGAGACCCTCCAACCATCTCATCCGACGAGTTGAAATCTCGTCTCGCTTTCATCTCGCCCAAAAACTAACAAAGCTCAGGCCGGTTGCCGCGCCTGCGTCCATCATGTTTGTCGCTTCAAGGGGTCCCCTTGCACTGCTGCGAGGCTTCGTCACTGGCGTCCTCGGACTGAGATCCGCAGGCCAAACGGGCAAGCATGAACTCGACGCAGGCACAAACCTTTTTCTTCGCCAACAGCCCTGTCGACCAAATTAAAGACCAACGGCAACTTGGTTCTGGACGATGAAAGTCGAAACGACACACGGACTCTCATGCCATCTTTACCTGATCGTATGCCAAGTTGGGATCGCTGCTGCCAGAATCGGCGAAGTACATGAACCGCGCAGGACCTCATCGAGAAACCGGGGCATAGGGAGCTTCGAACGCAAGACCCGATCCTGTGCTGTGACCCCTGCCCTGGTCTTTTGGATTCAATCACGGGGCCCGGTATCGAACCAGATGTGGGCCGCCCATGGTACGCAAAACCTCGCCAGTCGGAAGACTGAGTTTCCTGGCGAATGAGTGTCCAACAAGAGGCCTCACACCCATCATCATTCACTGTTCGGTCTTTTTTTTCGATGCAATGCTGACTCTCTGCATATGTGAGATGTGACATACATATGAGATCCTGCCCCTCGTGCATCAAGACCTCAATCCCAGGTTTTCGGACTCAAGAGGTCCTCTCGCAAGCTCTCCCCCATTGATCACGGCCATCCTTCCTCATCTAGGCTCTCTGCCCCGATGTAGGGAGACTGACGTCCAAGCTGGCACTCCAACAGATCGCGCGCTGCGGGATCTACACAGATACCCGTCGATCATGTTTAGACCTTCTGTCGCTTTTCGTGTCCAAATCTCAAGTCGCCGACCACATCGGGCACTCCCTGTCGGGTAGACGAAGGGGGGGAGGGGCTACCCACCTGGCGTCGACACGATGAGGCCTTATTAGCGACGATGAGAGAGGGGCAGACGCTTGGCCAGACTGGCTCTTGTGTGGGTAAATGGGAGGAAAGGTTAATATTCAGTCGGTGTGCTTCACTTCACAGTTTGCACGCCGCAGTGTCACCTCGCATATCTCGCAGGATCTTATCGGTCGTGGACTACCGTGACGGAGAAACTGACCTGTCAGGGTCACTCATGCTGCACTGTCGCGATGGGTCAACCATGTGGGCCTCACTGACTCTGGCGTCACAGCCGGACAACCGCGACAACGACGACGACGACGAAGACGAAGACGAAGCCGACAGCCAGGGTCAATCGCCAATTGCACACCGCACCCCTACCCCCCACGTCAAGTTCCACTAGCAAGTGTCCTTGTGAGCGCTGCGCTCGCCGTGGCTTTCGTCTCGTTTCTGTTCTGCGATCATGCCGGGCGACCATAAAATGCGACAGTAAAGTTTCCTCGCCAACACCGATGATGCCGGGATATCTTCGTCGCGTCAAAGCTCACACCCCCTCCCCTCCCCTCCCTCCCTCACCCCTGGTCCCAAGATACTTTCGGCACGTCCATTTTGATGATGTGATCGCGAGAGTGCAACGTGCGATCATGGTGTTTCGCGTTTGATCCTAGCGAGGTAGGGTACGGGGCAGGCATGAGAAGATCATTCTGGGGGCTCGGCCATACTCTCATCAGCCCCCCCCCCCCTCCTCCCCTCAGAGACGCCTTTCAACCTTCGGCGGGGGCGGGGGCTCATCTCTGGGATTTACTCGCAAGATAGGCAGTACAGGGCAAGATGGGCATGAGGAAGGCCCACGCCACCCCCTGCCAAAGAGTACCGCTCAAAGATCTGACCTGTCCTGTAACCCCCCAGTCCGTGTCGGGGGATCAGACTATGGTATCTTTGCCTTTGACTTTTGAGGGGCCGGGCGGCCCGGTCATCTGCGCGCGCTCTGCCTCGGGCGATAACCTTGATGCGGAGACCGGGTACCGCAGACGGCGGGCGGGCGCAAGGCTGGCTTTAGATTTTCTGTAGAACCTGCCCTATCCCTGAACGAGGGCCGCCGTAGGCCCCTTCACGGGGTTGGCGCAGGGCAGTGATGTGCAACAAAGTGGGCGTGGAGGTCCCTCATTTGAGGCGAGGGTGGAGGTGAGGGGGGAGGCCGGCAAAGTGAGAGAGGCGAAAGGCGGAGTGCGAAAAAGGGGCGAAACGGGGGGAGGCGGGGGTTGGACTGGCTGAACCTACGTAGGTCTTGGGACGTAAGGGAGAAACCACATTATGCAGACTACGTGGCTCGGCTGCCGGTTCGGCTTTAGGTACTCGAGACTCCGCCAAGACGGCCATGATGTCTTGCCCTCGCCGGGCAAGAGGGGTTCATGGGGGTGAATTGGAAGAATCTCTTGAGGTCACGCCTGAACTTTCGTCCACGAGCTGCGTGGATTTCTTGATGCGAGCACACCGCTGCAGCGCAAGCAATGGGACCTGGGAACTTTGAGATGATTTGCTCTGAAAGAGAGGCAGGGAGGGTTGCGGATCCTTTCTGCCTTGCTGGAGCCTTGCTCTGCGGCAGCAGCAGCAGCAAGGTCATGCTTGCTCGCCGTGCTTGTAAGAGTTTGAGTCTGCATCGAGGGCCCTCTGCGAAAGCTCAACGGGATTGGATGCTGTGCTGGCAAGACTGTCTAACATTACGCTGCAAGTGAGCTGAGAGCTGCTACTTGAAGCCTGTCTAGCTGACAGCATGGAGGGAATAAAGTCAAAATAACAAGAGGTGGATGTCATGGCCACCTCATGGTAATGGAGCCGAGGCAGCGTGGGTTTCTTAGACTATGTTACAGATGACAAGCACAGATGTCAGGAGGCCACGTCCAAGGGAAGACAAGTGTGTTGCGGCCGCGGGAACGGCACAGTCAGGGACGGCTCGCATCTCTCTCCCCCCTCCTTTCCCTTCCCGCTCACTTTGTTCTCCTCTCTTTCCTTTCCAGCCGGTTCATGTTTGCTTGTCTGAACGCTTTGCCTGCGAGCCAAGCGTGGCCCTAGGGCCAACGCACGAAGAAGTTTGACAGCGGCGACGGCGGGGCTTTTTCTGCGCCGGCCGTCCGTCCGTCCCGCGTTGTTGCTGCAGCGGGAGACGATGGTGCTAGGGGGCCACGGGGTAGTGTTTTATTTTCTTTGGCCGTTTTCTGTCCAGGGACCGTGGCCGTCCCCGCGTTCCTGCGTTGAAGGGACCTGTTCTGGTTTCTTTCTGCTAGTGAGGTACTCTGTAGACGTTCCTGAAGATCGTGCGTGGTGCGAGGTCCCCCCCCTCTCTCTGCAGCGCTAGGGCCCGCCGGGTCGAGTCGTGAATGACTTACTCGACATGAGCGCACGGTAGCTGAGCAACAGCGTCAATTTTGCGCCGATGGCTGTAGATTCTGAATTTTTCGCCGCCGAACAAAAGTCGAGATGTGACGGGTGACAGAAAAAAATTAGACATTGTATGCGCAGCGCCCGCGGTGACGAGGCATCCTCTTGATATGTAACATGACCGTGTCACATATGGCAGTCTCAAGCCTCCAGCTCTCAGGCCCTTCAGGCCCCATGCCACCATCCGGGTAGGTAAAACTTGACATTCTCGTAGACGAGAAAGGTGACCCAGGTGGCGGGCATGACGCGTACGACACCGGGAACGAGGCCGCGGTAGAACCCCCTGAAGCCCTCCTCGCGCCAGAGCTGGGTCGCGACGCCGCGGACGCCGCGGCCGAAGCGCGCGTCGGCGTCGTAGTTCTGCAGGCGGCTGCGCAGCACCTGGTAGGGATAGGTGACGGCGCCGGCGGCGAGCTTGGCGGCGGAGGAGAAGGAGGACGGTGGCGTCGTTGCCGAGGCGGCCGTCGTCGGGGGCGCCGGCGGCACGGCGGGCGCGCAGGTAGACGCGTTTGGCGGGCTCGTAGACGGCGAACTGGACGGCGCCGTGCGAGACGCCGACGAGGCCGACGGCGAGGCCGCGGTAGAAGCCGCGCCAGCCCTCGGTGGCGAGGATGCGGCGCGCGCCGGCGAGCATGCTCGGGTAGGCGCCAGCGTCGCCGCGGTCCGACGACAGCATGCGCGTCTTGAGCACCCAGACGGGGTTCGTCAGCACCTGCGTCAGGGCGCCGGCGCCGGCGGCCGAGAGGAGAAAGTGCGGCGTCGAGAGGGTGCGGTCGCGCGTCGTGCGGTCGGTGCCGCCGGCGAGGAGCCGCTCGATGCGCGACTTGAAGAAGAAGAAGGACGCCCAGGACGAGGCGTTGCCGATGAGGTTAGGCGTCAGACCACGGTAGAGCGAGGCCACGGGGTGCGGGTTCTGCGTCAGGGAGCGGATCAGGGACATGGTTGTCAGCGGTTGCTTGGGCGCTGTCGAGCTGCGGTGGACTGGAGGGGGGGAGGCTGTCAGTTTGGGTGTTCTGCCTGGTGAGCAGGTATGTGTGTATATGTGTGGGAGACGTACTCTGCATGCGCGTCTTGACAATGTCGAGGGGATGAACGACGAGCGTCGCAACGGAGCCGGCGGAGAGGCCAGCGATCGACTCGACAACTGCGGGTGAGAGGCCCGCATCGTTGCGGTCGGACATGGCAGGCGAGAGAGGTCTAGTTTACATGGCGATGGAGGAAGACTGCCTCGACGGAGGTGGTTGGGGAGGGGATGGAAGTAGAGGAAGAAATATTCCTCGGTGTGCAGCTGCGATGTGGAAAGAAGTCGAGCTTTGGAGTTTTCGGAGCTCAGAGCTTCTGCCAGGAAATGTACGTTTTGGTGGTGCATGGGGTGACCTTACGTCACTCTAGCCGAAATTTCGTGACGAGCTCTGCGCATTTAATCAATTGCCTGAACTTACGGAGACGAGCAGTCCAAGTCACGGTCACGGTCATGGAGAGCGATAGCATCCAGCATGGGTTGGTTCTTCAGAGCGGTTTCATCCATTATGACAGCTAGTGGTACATTTCATTCACGACTGAGCCAACAGAATCTTCTCTTCTGCCGCCGTCGGCCGGCACGCTCCCCTGAGATGCTACCCAGTACGGGCCCTGCGCATCCATCCCTGGCGCCTGGATCGCAAATCCCTGAGCCCTTCTGCTTCTTTTATATCATACATGTACATCGAGATGCTCTCGTTTTTCTTTCCGAGACGGCGAGGTGTCTAAGAGAGGGGGGACAGGAGGCTTTCGTGGGTTAGCGTTTCGTGTCGGATACTCAAGACTGCTCGAAAAGGCTTACCGGATGACCGAAGGGCGGGGGTCGCTGCGAGTGTAGCCTGCCATGTGTTAGCTTCGTCGTTACCGTCGTCTGTCGTCGTGCTCTCGCATCGTACCAAGGTAGAGGATCAAAGGCAGATAGCCACTGTATAAACGTCAGCCTGGTTCTCTCCATCGAGATTGCCGTGTCGGGGGGGAACATACTAGTGAAGGGCGACGCGCGAGACCTCAATGATCTTGCCGATGCGCTCCTGCGAAAGCAACTATCAGTATTGATCCGAAATGGCAGTGTTCGACTATTGCATGTGTCGAGGATCAGCCGCTCATACCTTGGACTCTTCGGAAAGGGCGAACATGACGTCGGTTGGGGGACGTAAGGCAGTGTGATGGTTGGGAAGCCTGGGTCTTCGAGTCGGTCGACCGCTTGTAATGCCGTCGAGGTTCGCGGGTGGATGGGAGATTCGGATGTCGTCGGTGACTTCAGTCGCGATGCACGATGGAGCTCTGTCTGTCTGTCTGTCTGTCTGTCTCCTGGATCCCGATGGACTTTTTTCGATCCCGGAAAAACCGCGGCACGACAGAACCAACAACTCATTGCCGCGGCGCCTGCGCATGGGGCCGCGCCTAGAACACCCGCCTAAGCGCGCGACACGGCTCTCGATCTGCAGGTACGTACCGCTTGCATCGCCAAATTTCCTGGTGAACCTTCAAAGCTTCAAGGCTTCAAGGCATCAGCTTCACTTCGACTCTACGCCTGACCCGAACGCTGTGACGACCGCCGCATTCGCTCCCTTTCCAATTCCTCGATTCGAATCACGAGACACGCGAGTCGTCTTCGAATCCAGACACAATCGCAACCATGGCGCAAAATCGACACTGGTAAAGCTCCTCTTGTGCCTCTCCAGATCAGTGACACCCCCAGCTAACGCGACACAGGGAGCAGGACAAGGATGCGACCGTCTACATCGGCAACATCGACGAGCGCGCGACTTCAACCATGGTCTACGAGATCATGCTCCAGATGGGCCCCATCCACAACATTCACATGCCCCGCGACCGTGTCACACAAACCCACCAGGGCTTCGGCTTCGTCGAGTTCCGCACCCCCAGCGACGCAGAGTACGCAGCCAACGTGATGAACGGTGTCAAATTGTACGGCAAATCCCTGCGCGTCAACAAGGCAAGCGCAGACAAGCAGAAGCAGGCCGAGGTCGGCGCCGAGCTCTTCGTCGGCAACCTCGACCCCATGGTCGACGAGAAGATCCTCTACGACACCTTCTCTCGCTTCGGCCCCCTCCTCACGCTGCCCAAGGTCGCCCGCGAGGACAGCGGCAACTCCAAGGGCTTCGGCTTCATCTCCTTTGCCGACTTTGAGAGCTCCGACGCCGCCGTCGAGAACCTCCACGGCCAGTACCTCCTCAGCAAGGAGGTGTCTGTCCAGTACGCCTTCAAGAAGGACGGCAAGGGCGAGCGCCACGGCGACGCCGCCGAGCGTGAACTTGCCGCCCAGGCCAAGAAGCGCAACATT